CAAACTACCATAACCATAACCATAACCTAACCATATGGTTATCTGGCACATTATTATTACTACAAATGCACGTAATTTAGAAAATAATGCATACGTACATGCCACCACTATGACTCTCAATTGATAAGCTACCGTTTTCCCACTGGGCTACCACCGCTTTTAAGAGAACATGTTGAACTTGGGAGCCGTTTATCAATACCCTATTAAACACACGTACATCATAATGACGTTATATCGTTATTGTTCCAATCAAATACCAGCTCCGGTGTCTATCATTTAGTGTAATCAAGTTGACGTGGTAAATGCTAATTGAGCAGAGATTATTTAAACAAGATATGAAATTCTTGGTTTTTGGTTGCTGGCTACGAAAAGAAACACCCCGCAACTTCATATGGAATTTACCACGATTTACCTTCTGCATATTGTAGGAAATGTCTGAGAACATAGTAATGATAATTAGAATTAGCTGATCAATTACAATTACAAGCACACGGGACTTATCACCTTTCTTAAATTGATAACTTTCTATATGTTTTATAGATATTATATGAATGAATGCAAAGTATTAAAATATTTATATATAATACATAATAGTACATTATTGCAGAGGCCGGGAAGTAGGAGATTGCTGGACGCATATGAATTACCAGGACGAGCGACAGCGAGGCCTTGTATTAATACGAGTCATGCAATCCCCGTTCCCGCCGAGGCGTGTATAGTATTTTTCTCGATGTGAGAAAATAATAAAGACTATAGAGAATAAACTCCATTTTTTGTAGTCGGTTAAAAGTATATAAGTTATGTAAATTCACATATGAATACCTTGTTGAAACAACATGAAAGAAAGCTCATCGGTCCAAATATTCCATAGTTTTAATGCGAACATCAACACAAAACATACGAAACACCTAAAATCGATTCACAAACCTGAGTTGACTTGTTTAACGGTACTCCATAAAGAGTGTACTTTGAGCGCTGGACCAAAAATCCAAAACACGCATTAAGGACACAGAGCGACTTTTAAGAAGTGGGTACAGTCATGGGTAAAAGTTGTATTTAATAAACTTCATAGCGGAGAGAGAGAGAGAGAGAGAGCGCCAATTATAAATAGAATATTTATATATTTATATAATAAAATATTTTTAAATAGATTATCTTGTTTTTAATAGTTACTTTTTTAATAATAATATTGTATTAATTGTAGTTATTTATATTATTTCAGTTAAGGCTTATTTTGAGTTGTTTTTTTTTTTTCATTTCGTTAGTTTTTTTTATTTCAGTTTCATTTTCGTTGTGTCCACATTTGCAGGCCGTGGTGACCTTTAATTGAGACAGAATTTAGCATAAGTCTCTGTATCACTATTTCAACTTTGTTATATTTAATTCATGTCTTGTTGTCTTGCCCCTCTGGCGGCATATAGCTATGTAAATTCTTAAGTTACGGACGTTTGTGAATGTTACCTGTACGTCGAAGAAGGTTCACAATTCTAGGAAAACGTGTGATGTCCCCTACCCGCATTGCCGCGGCATTGGGGCGCGCAATAGGTTGACAATGATGACGACCACATCTAGTTCTATCTTATCTTTTTCACTTTTATTCCTCGTATGTCAATTGCCATAAATACAGTAGGAAAGAAAATTTTAAAGATGATTCCATAGCCAAAAAAATTTACGCTTGAAAAGGTCATTTGTAAATAGAAATATGACTTTTCAATTGAAATACTTTTAATGTTAGGTTTTAAACTTAGGAAATGATAATCTTGATATATACCCTGGAATCTTATTGTGAACTCATATACTGCGCCCGTAGTGCCTCGATAAAGCTATTATATCCACATTTAGCTGTCAAATTCGAGTGATAATTTTGAATTTTATCACAATAGCTATCATGGCGAGCATCGTGACGTCACATTTTTGTCATCGCGAGCGCCGGCGACCAATAACTGCAAAAGATTAACACAGTGCTAAACATGGGTGCAAGGTCACAGCTGATTCTAAAACATTTGCACAGTAATTTTATCTACGTAAAAATGGGCGCGACAAACGAGACGAAAAGACATTTTGTGTTTCATGGTTTTCGCGGCGATGGTTAAACGACAAAGATGGCTATATATACGCAATTTCATATCGTTCTTCAAAAGGTATAATACTTAATTACCACATAAGCAAACTTAGATTTATCAACTGAATTAAATATGGTCACGGGGAGGTTTATCACACATATTCTGCCATGCTACGGACACAGTTCCCCATAAAAGAATCGTTTACCTTAATTAAACGAAATCGTAGTACCATGAGTTTGCACTTAGTTTCTAAGTTGAAGGTCAGTTATAGTAATTTTAATTACATTTCCTCATTACTTACTATATTCTGCCACGACGTCAGCAATATTGATCACCATGTCATGACTATGGTATAGACTGGTATTTAACCTATTTAAAAAAACCAACGCTGCGACTCTTTATAGTTCCCTGTTAGCCATGACCATTGGACCTATAACGAACCCGAAGCGCTGGTATGTCAGAGTTGGAGCCGTCTTACCAGTAGAGCTCCTTGTGAAAGAGTTCGTCCAGGGAAGTGCTGCCACCTTACCTATTTCTGCCGCCAAGCAGTATGCGAGCATTACTGCATTCTGGTTTTGAAGGGTAAGGGTGCTGGTGAAATTACAGGCATGTGGGCCTTGTCAACATAGTCTCTGGGTTAGGGCAGTGCCTTTCAAATGTTTGAGGCTTAGGCGTGATGCTTCCTACCAGGCTCACGACTTGTTCCTCCTGTATCTTGTTGTCGTTACTAGGATATGACTTCTTGCTATGCCAACATTACGCAACGGTTACGCGTTTCATGATTACGAGTTGATTAATAAGAAGTCATAATACATATTACTAAAAAGAAACCTGTTATCACAGATCATAATACTTATAACTCATGTCATTATTATTACAACTTTGTTTTTTTTTCATTTTTGTTGTATGATTTGATTTACAGAACAATGCTTTCAGTCATCGTAAAATATGAATGTATAATTTTTTATATTTACAAAAAAAAAGCTCGCATTTATAAGAAATACGGTTAGATACGTAACACTCTTTTTCCTTACAAACTTTTGCTCTTGACTGTACTTGTTGTGCTCAGATCAGATTTTAAGTACTCGAAATAACAGTGCTTTGGGGAAATAAAATGGTGTTTTTGCTTGTTACTGAAATTTGAGGTGAAATGAAGTAATTTAACTTAATTTTATGAGACACAAATATGACTTAATAGTTTTTTAATAACATACCAGTTGCAGTACCACTCAGAGCTTTGAATCGCAAAGATCTGAGGGGCATTGCCACTGCGCTCGACATCCTGAGACGTAAGTTGACAAGTCCATATGCCTGTAATTTCACCAGCACCCTTCAAAACCGGAATACAGTAATGCTAGCATTACTGCTTGGCGGCAGAAAGAGGTAAGGTGGCAGTACTTCCCTGGATGGATGGAGCTCTACTGCTACTAATATACCAGTAGCAATGGCACGGTTCCAATATACCAGTGACTTCAATTTGTATGCGTACAATTTTGTTACTGGAAAAAAGATGTCGAAGAAGGTTCACATCCTTTATATTATAAGCCTAAAGTATCTCCATAGAGGAGATCCGTATACTAGTGAAACGAATTATGGGTTGGTAATGATGATTATGAATTAATAATAGCTTAAATTTTTAATTAATTGCTGGAACAAATACCAACGCCATCTAGTAGAATACAACGCAAACAATATGGCAATATCGGACCACTATAGAAAAGAACTATTATCGAAACTTGTCAGCGTTACTTTCTGCTATGGTATTAACCAAACTGCGGAATGGCGTGACCATTATAAAACTGTTACGGCCTATTAGGGTAAAGTCCCCAACGAGGGTGGCAATTATATTGTCATCACCAGACCATAGCGGCCTGCTTGTTGTTAATTTTCCACATGTTAAAAAACAGGGTATTTAGTACAAAATGATATTCGCTCGTCCATTGTGGCAACTAGCCTCAAATCGCCAGTCTCTTCCCCAGCGACCCGGTCGAATCGGACATTTTTGTCAAAATTGAATAAGAAGTAATGACGACCTCCGTGGTCGACTGGCTTGCACACCGGTTTTCATGGTGCGCCATCTGTGAGATCCCGGGTTTGATCCCAGGGTCAATGTTAACTGCCTCAGTGGCCGAACGGTTACAATGCTCGCCTGCCACACAGAGGTCCCGGGTTCGATTTCCGGGCCGGGAGAATTACTTGTATAGCCTACATTTATTTCCCTCGTGAGTTTGGGTGTAATTTGTGGTTGTCTCTCTTGGTTGTTTCCCTAGTGCGGGGCTTATAATAAACTTTTCTATATTTCGAGTGTTTTTCGTATCGTCGTTGTTTTTAGATATCCATAACACAAGTCGTCGGCTAAATTTGAAAACTTCGGAATATCGGATAATTAAACCTGACAATATAATTTGTTGACCCTTTGTTATAAAATAAAGGTGTAGTCATATAATTATTTCTAGTAAAATCTGTAATTTTTCCTTATAACAGTTTAAGTTCATGGAGGTTACGAAATTTACCGACAAAATGCTTTAGTTACTTACTTCGGATTCAGAGCAACGTATGTCATATTTATTTATTTATTCAAGAAATGCGATCGTAGCGGACATTCTTCATTAATGATGAAGCACACTATTTCTCCAGCTTAGCGGTCTTGCGTTACCATGATGTTTTGTTGGAAAGAGGGGGAAAAATATTCCACTTCTATAGGTGACTAACTAAACTATGAATCCGGTTCCGCACACTTTCCGGTAACTAATTCCAATAAAACTTGGCAAATAGATGTAATTCCACGAAGTTTTGAGGTCGGTTTTTTTATTAAAAAGTTATAATTGTTGTAATGTAATAAAATAAAATGTTGTAATATAATAATTGTTGTAATTTTATTTTAATGTTTTTGTCCTATTTTGTATGTTTTCAACAATGTAATTGCGTTGGTTGCAGTGTGGCGGGATGGAGAAGGCAAAGGCGTACATAAAGAGCTCGCTAAACGCGTCGCGGCCGGCGTCGCCGCGCGACAAGCCCGCGCCGGCCGCGGGAGACGCGCGCGTGTGTTTTGTCTGCGGCGGCGCAGGTTACGGCGACCAATTCACTGTACGGCACAAGCCTGACTCTCAGGTAAACTTGATTTCATATTAGTCGGAACGTGTATATATTTTTTTATATTTATGTTATTTCATTACGTCAATTGACGGAACGAGCAAGTCGTGCACCTGATGATAAACTGACAAGCCAGGCCACAACACTTGCAGTGCTACTCAGAGCTTTAAATTGCAAAGATCTGTGGGGCACTGCCACTGCGTCCGTCACCATGAGACGTACGTTGACAAGTCCTGTGTGCATGTAATTTCACCAGCACCCTTCAAACAGTAATGCTGATATTACTGCTTGGCGGCAATAGGTACTTCCCTGGATTAACTCTTTCACAAGGAGCTCTACTGCTACATGGTATCGTTTGTATGTTGCTTGATAGTTGTGAGTTTGGTGAACGATTAGTTTAGTTTTCTCAATATTACAAATTCCATACAAACACAGTTACATGTCATTTTACTATCTTCGAAAAGTGAGCGTCAGTTCACAAAATAATGAAGAAATAATTATATAACAGTGAGTCATAAATACACAATAGTGTACATATACAAAATCAACATAATTAATGAAACTAATAAATAATTGAATTTAACTAACAATGTCAAGTGTATACAGAAAATGTCAATATGGATTCTTAATAACTAATAAGTGTATTTTACAGTATAATCATACGGTGAATGCGAAATTCATTAATAAATAAAATAATTTAATTATTTATTAAGTACTTTGAGTGTACTCTGTTACTGAGTAAAGGGACTTTCCCAATAAAAGGTTCTTCGGTCTGCACCTCAACGTTTCCTCACAACATTCGTTTTTTAGTTCGGCGGGAACGAGGTTAAAGGGACTAATTATTTTGCAACAACGAAAAAAGGGATGAGAAGAAAGTTATCTTCTCTCCAAAGATATTTTTTTTGCGGTATAAATTGTCAAATAACCTAGAAACATGGGCTCGGAAACAACGCAACCGTGCCTATATGATCAACATAGCATTAAAAGTCAAAACACATAATAGCTAACGTCCTTTGAGGTAGAACATACCAGAAAGAGAAAATGGATAAACAAAACCCCTATAAAAAGTTTCCCCATCTATTATCTGGTTTCCAGCTAAAGAATTACCAGTGGTAGGACCCAGAACACCCAGACCAGAACTAAACTTCGTTCAAATGCCTCTTGTCCTAATCTCTGAGCTCAAAAGTTAAGTTCTCAAAAGGTACTTAAAGCTGCTCGTTCGTTATTTTTAATCACGGTTCTGAGTTATTTACAAACCAATAACCGACAACCATATCTAAACCGGTCACCGTGAAATAAACGTATTTATAATAGCCGTGATCGTGCGACTGTTTTTATGACTTCACGATGATTGCATCGCTTCCTCACCGTCTGGTGTCAATTTTGGTCAATTGATAGCTAGTTAGAACAAGTTTCTAAGGCTGTAGACGATTGAACTACTAGAACAACCAATTTAAAACCGCTAACTGAAAAGTGGTATACAAGCCGTTGTAGCCTAAGCGCCCAGTTACACAACGCGAAAGTTATCGCGCGGCCGCCGCGCGGCAGTTCGCCCATTTATCACGTTTTCACGTACATTAATCGCGAATCTGAATTTTATTTACTAGGCAACAACATTTAAATTCCTTTGAATAAATTATCGATTAAAATAAACTGCCGCCACGTAGACCAAATTCGAGCCAGACTGAATGCTTAATAAAAGTGCGTACTTTGCCATTACAGTTAGATGCACGCGGGCTCCGCGCGTGCATCTAATATAGTATGAAATTCATATCGAATAAATGCGCCCTTGTGGTTTAACTTACCGCTTTTCAAGCAGAGACTGTGGGTTCGAATCCGGGCTCGCACCTCTGAGTTTCTCGAAATGTATGTGGAAAACATCGTAACGAGACCCGCACGTCGAAGCAGGTACAGAACCTTCGAAAAACGTGTAAAGTCCGCATCGGGTCAGCGTGGCGGATTATGGCCTAAACCCTCGCCTGAGAGGAGACCCGTGACCAGCAGTGGGACGTAATAAACGGGTTGATGACTGAAAAAGTGGAGATGTCTAAAATGGCGAACCATATTACGGTGATTTGATGTGAGGCTACGTCTTATCGACTGTCTTTTGTATGTGACTTTTTTAAATTTTTGTTCACAACACCCGTATCGAACGTCAATCTGTCGTATTCGAGACCGAAATGACGTCACACCCGTACGATTACTCGAACTTCTCGACCGGCAAAGGCTACAAACGTTATTCAAAACACAGTTATCGAATGAAAGTTACCGAACGTCCTATTGTTTACAAAGTAAGAATGTATATATTTTAAATAAAGGCTGGATTTTTTGCAAGACTAATGCATTCCTATATTTTAGGCCTTAAAAGCCTTGAATTGTGTTTATAAGGATTTTAATTTTTCTTATACTTTATTTCACCGACTAACTCCGTAAACGCTGTTGTATAATGGTATCGTATCCGAATTAGGAATCGAAGGTTTAATTCGAATGTTCTGAATAGCTCTGAAAGCGCCCTTTGATTCGAGAACGATATTCAATCGAACGACTCGGTTAAAATATCGGAAGAGTTCTGAATCGGGGCCCAGCTCAGTCCGCTGACAGCCCCTAGTCCCCAGCTACTTGACTTTTTGGAGTACACTGTTTTGTATCGGGTTCTTTTTCTTTTTTTTTAACTCATTATTAGCACGTGTTTTTCTCAGAACAGAGAGCTAAGCAAAATGTACAATACCACTTATCGTGGTAAGAAGAGGGAGGATGCTTTAACTGTGTTATTGGAAAAACATTTCACCGAGGCCACGCGTCTAGCCATCTTCGAGCAAAAACTGGGGGAAAAATGACACGTCCTGTGCGTCAAACCGCTCGCAAGCACGTCAGAGAGCGTGTTTACACTCAATACACATGTCTGGTACACAAGGAATGATGTTTTCGACTTAACGCGAGATAAAAACATTAAATTTACTTAAATATTGTTTTTGTCATATCACTATGATACCAAGAGACAAGACAAACAAGTCGTGCCTGGTGTTACCTAACACGCTTATCCATAACAGTTGCAGTGCCACTCAGAGCCTTAAATAGCAAAGATCTCGGGGGCACTACCACTGCACCCGTCAGTCACACTGAGACACTGCCACCTTACCTATTTTGAAGGGTAGGTGCTGGCGAAATTACAGGCACACATGGGACTTGTCTTGTCATGTCTAAGGGTGGCAGTGGCGATGTCCTGCAGATCTTTGCGATTGAAAGCTCTGGAGTGGCGCTGCAACTGCTATGGACAAGCGTACATGGAGCTCTACTGCTTCTAAAATGACTGGGGTAGTGGTGGTATTGGATCATTTGCACGAACTCGCCTATCCAGTGCGAACTACCAAACTTGGGTGACGTCACATCATCAGTATTTTGTTAAAAGTAAGTAGTAACCGACATTTCGAAAAATTTTTTTCAGAGGAGCATGTTTTCATGATTGTTTTAAAATGTTTACGTTCTGTTTTAAATTCAACTTTATTAAAACCAAAATAGAGTTTTAAAACAGGACTGAAATATTTTATAACTGTCGTTGAAACCTAAAACATGTTCCCCTGAAAATTTATTCGAAATATCGCTTAAGCCCTTTCTACGAAACACGACATATACATAACACGACGCCAAATGAGTTAAGCTGTATTAAGAGTACGCTCCTGAAATACCCCTTTCGCGTTTTTTAAATTGAGTTAACTATAAAATATCATATATATAAGAAGACGCACGTGTCTGGTTTCGAACAAACGATAATTTTCTACGTCGCTAACGCATAAATAGCACTCGTGTAGTACGACCCTTATCAGAATGGCGGTGCAAAACAAATTAATTTCACTCTCGGCCGTGTCAAATGTCAAACGCTGTCAATTGACAACCGGTTGGCACCGCTTTGGACGCCTTCGTCGTAATTGGCCACTTATTTCGAGGTAATAGAGACGCGGCCGACAGACTTGCCCAGTAACGTGTAATAGGTGTTTGTAATGCACTGTGATTGCGAGAAGAGCATACGGTATGCATTTTTTATATTATTCGGCCTAGGACACATACCTTTGCATCTCGGTTATATGCATATGCGCATCGCCGAGGTACTCGACGTTTATACATTGCGTCCACAAGCATTGCGCGAGTTTAAAATTCGCGCGTAGATTGTTTACCGTACGCCAGGCTCGACTCGCGCTCAGGACGCACGATATCGCGCCATATCGCGCGAGTCAAGATATTAGAAATTCCTTGGTTACGTTGAGCTTACGCGCGAACTTCAATGCGAGTGCACGTATCTATTGAAATGGTGCGGCAAAATATTGGTACCGAAATGTTTATGGATGAAATGGAAAGACCGGCAATATCGGATGGGATCTTCTGAGTACCTACGCTAATAGAATTTTCAAACGATAGAAAGTTACAAACAAAAATATTTTGTGTTATTCTGTCGTTGAAAATCGGATGCCGGATGAAAACATTCTGCTTTTCCTTCGTTTTCGTCTCTTCCAACGACGGTAAGCTGGCCACAACTTGATGGACGGAGCGCGTTCATCTGACTGAATCCGTCCTCAAACGTTCACGCGTCAAACGTGTCTTCTGGGCGCAATGTACGCGCGTACACGCGCGAGATGATTCACGGCGAAATTAGAAAATCTTATTCACGACTTATAATTTTTTTTAATAAACACAGGTTGTATAGAATTTGGCGGTAACAAAATGACGAAATTGACTACCTCCGTGGTCGAGTGGCTTGCGCACCGGTTTGCATGGTGTCACCATCTTGGGGAGCCTCGGGTTCGATCCCCGGCGGGCTCAATGCAGAAAACTTTTGTATATTGTCTCGGGTCTGGGTGTTTGTGGTACCATCGTTGTTTCCGATTTCCATAACACAAGTGCTTTAGCTACTGTCTTTGGGATCAGAGCAACATATGCGATGTCTAATATTTATTATTATTTATTTAAAATAAGCATGACTTCGCTGTAACTGGCCGAACATTATGCACGAATATGTTGCAAGC